AATCAATTAACACACTTAAATACATATATTTTACTTGTCTTTAATATATTAAAATTCTTTTAATCAATAATTGCGGCTCAAACTAGTTCAGTTGGAATATTCAAATGAAATGTTGGAATGTTCGATGCATATTTTCAAAAATTAGTGTCAGTTTTTATTTTTTAATTTTAGAGTTTATTTCGTTTAATTATTTAAAAATAATTGTAAATTTATTTGATTAAAGCAAAGTATATATTTTAATAATGATTTATTTTTAGTTGCCGCTTATAAAATTATTTAAGTATAGCTTACAAAGCTAACTTTGTATTTTTTTTCTAATTAATTTGAATTTTATTCTTGTCGTTGTTTAAATTTATTCAATTAAAGCTGCTTCAAAGAGCGAACTTTTTTTTTTCATTTAAAATTATTTAATTAAATCAGTAATAAACCAATGATTATATTTGTTTTAAGATTCATTCTAGTTTTTTTGATATAATTGGTTAAATTTATTTAATTGAAGCTTCTTTACAAAGCGAAAATGTGTTAAGTGTTGAACCATATAAAAAAAATAGAATTTTTGAAACTTTTAATACGTCTTCCCTTCCGAAAAAAAAAACACTTCAGGAAGTCTGTTCAATTTATTTCACAATATTTTAAATATTAAATTTAATGGTATTAAATTATTTTATATCAGCAAAATTTCATTGCAATTCTTTTGGGGTTTTTTATATAAAATGTTTGTTAATATTTTGAAATATCTTTCTCTTGAAACTTGATTTTAATCCATTTTGATATATGCATTTATTGTTGCCTTAATAAAAAAGCAAAATAATTGTTTGTTTCATATATCTAAATTATTATTAGTATTATCGTTTTAATTAGCACATTTTTTTTTTGTTATCACCTTTGTTTTTGTGTACTAAAAGCTTGAGATAGACGAAATTTTGTTGAAAATAATAAATGTTTGTATTTAATTTGATTAGCCGCAATACGCGTCCGCTGCTCAGCAAGTTGCGGTTATCACTGACCGAGCACAACGCGAGCACCTTAACTTTTGCTTGAGTAATCAGCGCAGTCGACGTCAGCGTCGGCATCGGAGTCGGCGTCGACGACGACAGTAGCGGCGGCATAAAGCAAAACGCAATTCAAGACGTTTGGCGTGCGCGCGAGCAAAGTCAAAATAGGCACAATAAATAACTGTTTCTGTGTGTTTGTCTATGCTTTGTGCTTTTGCGCTGATCGAGAAACCGAATGCAGCCCTGGCGCGCTGCGACGTGCGAATATGTATTTGAAGCGTATTTGTTGTACTTGTTATTGTTTATTTGTTTTGCTCAGTGATTCTCCAATTATACATATGCATGAACATGCATACAATGCATTATTGTCGCAATTGATTGGCATGCACACACACACACACACACACACACGCGAAATCACAGCTTGCCAAATAATTGCAGTCGAACTGATCTCAAATTGTGCGAATGATCGATTGATTGAACACATGTGATTGATGCACGTGTCAGACGGATGATATTGCATTTAAATATACATTTCAAAATTCGGTTAGGTGGTTAACTTTTTAAGTAATAAAAGGTATTGTTAACCAGTTATGTGTCATGCCATTGAACTTTTTTCACAAAGATGAATGGACTTGTTTCGCCTTTCAGTTTATTTAATGATTTGTGAGCTCTTTAGCAATGCATTTAATGGGCCAATATCTGGCTTACGAATACTCTGTCGTTATACTTAATGTTTTTTGAATGTTACTAAGTCCCATTTCAAAAAGCAATTATTTTTTTGACAGCTAATTAAACAATGTTTCCTTAAGATAATAAAAATTGATATTTCCTTAAGATAATACGAATTTATTATATATATTTTTTAGGTATTATTAATTGCCACATAAGGTATTATTAATCGCCTGACATAAATATTTATGCTTAAGTTATAATTATATTCTTACAAATATGCGTATTGGTAAATTTAAGTGAATGCTAAGCTATTTACCAACACTGTAAACGCCGACACGCATTCACTTGACTCTTGCTGAGGTCACGCTTTGCATACAGCTCAAAATATGCAAAAATAACGAAACTGCATGCAATAAAAACTTGTTGAACGAGAAGTAAATGCATGTAAAGTAAATTAGAGTGTTTGTTAATTGAAAAAAAAAAATAAAATAAAATAACAATCAAGCAAATTTTGTAAGTGATAATTTAGGCTTTGGATTACACCAAGTAACACAGCTGCATATTTTTTTTTTAGCAAAATAGGAAAAACCTGTTTCACGTTACGGAATCGGGATTTTCCTCGAAACATTAACGTTAGCATTTCCTTTTCGGTGGAAAACGCTATTGAAAATCACTTGAGCCAAACAATTGAATTGAAAATCGTGCGCTGATTTGATGAACGTCAACGCAATTAAAAAGTTTTAAATATAATTCCGACTATTTTAGCTTAGGCTTGCGACATTTTTGAGTACAAACAAAATGCAATCTGTTGATAAGCTGAAAGCTGTTTAAATTAGGCAAACATAGACAGCAGATAAAACAAGTCATAAAAAAAAAACAATTTATAGAAAAGTCTAGCTGGGAGTGCACGACTCGGAGATACCCTGCAACTAAGCTAATGTGAAGGGCATTTCTGATTTCTGCTATAGGAAAAGATATACTTAGATAGATCGACAGCTTGTCCCGTGGTCGGAGATGCTTTCTCCTGCCAGTTACAAATATCCGCACAAGAACAGTATACCCTTTTTCACATATTTTCAATGGGTTCACGGTTTAACAAATATGAATTATGATTTAATGCATTGAGATGCGCACCGAGAGGGGCAGTAAAAAGCATTGCCGACAACTGCTGTGTCGCCACCAAAAATACCATAAAAAGTCACATGTAACACAAGGAAACAAATTAAAGATAAATGTAAAACAAGACCCCCAGAGCACAACAGAAGACGCCGAAACATTTCAATGAAAATTGGCACGCTTCAATGAAGCGAGCCAGAAGGAAACTGCAGTGCGACGATAGGTTTTCTCGGGGGCCGGGACGGCGCAAGGGGAGGCGTGGGCGATGATGGACTGCCCAGCCCAAAGCTATAGAGAGCAGACCAGCCCAGCCCAGGCCAGGCCAGGCCAGTCCAGACCTGATTCCGACTCTGACTCTGCCAGCGAAAAGTTCATTCATAAGCAGCCAAGACACAAAATGTTGCCACGGTGCAATGAAATTGAATTGCGTGCAACGAAATGTGTCCGAACAACCGAAGAGAACGGTCCAAAGAGCGCGTCCCGCCAAACGGTGGCATACAGATACTTTGTAGCCAAGATAAATTGGCCACCGAATACCAAGAGATCTGCGATGTGTAAAAAGAGAGCGCATCCAGAAGCGGATGCTTTAAATTTACAACTCATTTGCAACTGAATACATATTGATTGGGAATGTCAAAATTGCCCTTACCATAACTCGAACTCTCAAATTTAGTTAAAACTTAAACAATATTCATGACTAATAACATAATTGCCATGATTTCATCTCTATATAAATTGTTTTTAAGGTAATCAATTCTTCTGTCAAGAAACATAGCAAAAATATAAGGAAATAAAGTTAACAAGTCCGTGGTAAATGCCTCTACTATTCCGAACATTTTAATATTATGTATAGTAGAAAATATTTTCCGTTTTTGTTTATTTATAAGTAAAAATATGATCTAAGCCTTATAGTGATTATATAATATTACACTGTAAAGAAATCGGTTGAAAAATAAATTGTTATACAGCAAAAATCTTTGTTTTCTATGATATTTTCTTCAATCTGGAAAACCGTAAGCCAAGGGAATAATATCTTCGGTGTGCCTAATATATCCTTACTCTCTCGTTTGACTTCAGACTTCCAAAACTCTCCCAAATCCAAACAGATTTTTTTCTGGATTAAACTGAAATTTTCCTAAGCTCAAAACAAGATTCCATCATATTTCGCTTGCTTCTCCAATTTTATGTACGAATGAAATGTGGCCCCAAAATACTAGATAAATTCCTCTCTAGCACTTCAAACTCTTATGAGGTGCAAACTACAAGTTTTTAAAATATTTATTATCAATTGATGTTCAATTCGAGCCCACGCACCTAGCTGGATACATCTGGTTGAGCCCAACCCAAATCCAATAAAGCTCACCCAAAAAAAATCGAACAATTTGTTAGTTTGCGCCAATTTAATGTTTACTTTGCACTTCGAGCCCAACGACCAATTTGGGCAAATCAAACAGATACGCATTGAGCTATTAAAAATAAGAACCTTTGTCCGATGCCATTTGTATCTATTTGTACGTGTTGCCATTCAGGGAACCAACCAACCAACCAACCAACCAACCATCCATCCATCCATCTATCTAACTATCAATTAAGCCAGCTCGCGTTTTCCCAGGCGCGCTTTAGATAAAGGGAAACTCAGCACACACACTCAACGCACACCACGCACACACAACACACACCCCAACAGAACCCAATCCCAAAATGATGACACTGCCGATTTCCACGGAAGCAAAGCGCATGGTTCCCATTTGTTCTGTGGCGTTTCGAGCGGCAATTAAAAATTTTTACCGAAAGTAAACGTTGCGCATGATTAGCGCACGAATTCGAGAATTTGAAGCAAATATTTTTTATTTTAATACCCTGTATTCTGTGGAAGGGAGTAGGAGAGGTATATGGAAGATGCGACTTCATAAAATATACATATGTATTATATATTCTTGAATCATAATTAAGCATATTAAGCCAAAAAACTGGTTTTTTTCGATAACGCCGCTCTTTTTCCCAAAAACGATAAATATCGAGTTGCAGCAAGGTTTTGAAGCATATTTTTAAAAAGTGCAAGAATAAATCATATTTTAGTTCTTGATGTTCTTCACCCACTCTTCCAATATATTGTTCTGATTTTAAAAATAGATACATTATATAAATTATATACACATTTGAGTGTCTTTTTCAAGATCGGACAATAAGCAACGAAGTTATTTAGGAATACATTTGTCATAATGTGCAAGAACAAGCCCATTCATGAATGTGGATTGCTTAGCATTTACAGGGTATACGCTCTACTTGTTTTGTTTTCAGTTTCGATCGGCGCCCGCATCGTTTGATCGGGGCACAGAACACTGTCAGCGGGTGGTCGGCGACGACAGCCGCTCGTCCAGACTCAGACTCAGAGTTCGAGACGTGGACATGGACGTAGATAGTTTTGTAATGGGTTGTTAGAGCGGGGCGGGTGGGAGAGTTTGTTTTGGCAGGCCGTAGACAAAGTTGACGTACAGGCAGCTGTCAATGTGTCAATATTAATTTAATATGTCAAAAATATAATCATACGCAATTTTAAATTGAGTTATAAGGGGACACACGAGACGCCTCCTAATAGAGCTGTAACGGGGTGGAAAACTGAAGTGCTTCGAGAACAGAATTTGAGAAGGATACGAATCGACAGCATGTTCGTACAATCTGCGCCACTTTAACTATCTACACAGACTAGATAAAACCCAGCTTAAATGAAAATCAGCCATGACAATGGCCCAGAGCATTTTCCGAAGCCCAAGCTATAACAATTTGTTAATGAGCAAATTACATGGTATTTGTGTATAAATGCCAAGTTCATTACCTACGCGAGTGCATAAATTACAGAGTGAGGCACACACACACACACACATAGGCACACACTTTAGTTACACGCCCTAAAAGTGATTCACTGAAGAACGCCCCCTAATTTCTAAAGAATTTCGAGCGTATAAACCAAGTGATAGGCCAAACAAAAAAAAAAAACCAACTATAAAAACTGTTGATGCGTAAAAGGATGTGCCCTTTGCGTAGGTAAGTGTAAGTGTGTACTTATCATTTCCTTTCGAGATATGTCGCAGGGTTGTCAGGTTTAAAAAATAAATTACATTTTAGATTTGAAAGAAAACTATCTCTAAAATAGAATTGGAGAATACCACGTTCATAATACAGGCAGCTTAAGGGCTTAACTACTTTGACAACATTTATGTTGAATTTTTGAATTTTTAAATGATTTTGTTCTAAGTGTTGCTGAAGCTTTCTTTTGGGTCACATGTGAGCACTACGACGGGGTCTTGGAAAATTCGACCTGCAAGTATGGAAAAACGGTGCTCAAGCTTATCTAAAAAAAAACATCAACAATGACAGAGTCATATAATTGTGCTATGCAAACGTGACGACACGAGCCTGCATGGCTTAGGTGTCTGAGCGTCTGACTAACAAACGCGAGGTCGCCGGTTCAAACTCAGCAGCAATTGTGAATTTTCATATTTGTTTAAAGGGCAAAGACACGTGGTGGGAGTTTCAGAGGCTTTGTATCTGGCTGGGATCAGGTAATTTCTTGTAGTATAGTAATATATTATTCTTATGCAACTCTGGTTTCAGCAACTCTCTCGCTGGCACATAGTTGAACGTGGAAACCCTGTCTGCACATGCAACTCTCGACAACTCTGTCCCGACTGCAATTAGAGTGGCACACGTGTGCTCGTTCTTACCCCCGGCTCCTCATATGGGTGCTTCGTTCGTGTACATCTGAGTATATATTCTAAACAGTTGACTTGTGCATGCGGCTTTATCGCCGATTTGGTTTTTGAATATTGCTCGACGCATTGGGAAGCAGTTTTTGGATGGCACTCGCGGGCGGAGACTCCCTTGTGCAATTAGGAAAAGTGCAGTTTTATGTGTTTATTTTTACATGCCACACAATATGACACAGGCAGGCAGGCATAGCGCACAGCTGTGTGGCCTAACCCAGATACATGCATATTCGATACGAGCATATATGTTTATATATGTATATATATGCATATCGTTCAAGTAGTCGCCCCTCCGGGTGCCACTCCTGGAGCCGTTCCAAATTGTGCGTGCAAGCAAGTCGTTCGACTTATCACACCCCGAACTATGCTCTAAGGGTTGCGCAGATGAGTCCAAGAGCAGGGTGCGGGGGCGTGTAAGCGATATCGAACACAAACACACACACACTCGGACACACACACACAGCTGGCGTGTGTGTTGCACTATCTTTTATTACCGACTTTTCCATAGGTATATTTTTGATTTTCTGCATTTATTGTAATTTATTAATGAGCGAATGCCTTTGGCCGCCACACTGATTTATGGGGCATGTGCTGTCAGTGGCATGTTTTTGATGCATGTGGCATGGTAGCACGGTTGCATGGTGGCATGGTGGATATGGCTGTTGGTGGTGTCAAAGGGTTCATTAGCACGCCAAAAGGATATTCACACGATGCGCCCCTGTGACTTATGTAACTTAATAGGCTGCTAAAAAATGTCTGCTAGATTTTTATCACTCAACAAACACAGACACACACACACACACACTCACGCGGATATGACATGCACACTCACTGGCAAAGGAGTTGACGACGTCGCAGAGGCAAACAACATGTGGCAATGGCCACAGCCAAATTGTAGCCACATGTGTGCGACTTGCACTCGCCCCACAATGTTGATGATCATCAACAGCAGCAGCAGCAGCATCGGCAGCAAGTAGGGAGACTCAGTCTGAGGCTAAACAAATTGAAATATTTCAAGTCCTCAGCCTCTTGGCGCTCGCAATTGCTCAATCGCGCGTTGTTTTTCTTTTCTTTTTATTTTCGTTTACTTTTTTTTCGCGTGCTCGCTGCCAGCCACAAAGTTTGCAAAGGGAACCAAACGACAAGATCACAAGATGATCATCATGTTGCGCAGAGCACAAGTACAGAGTACGTACTACAGTGAACTCGGCGCTCATCAGTGCCAGAGATGCGCAATTGGCTCATTACTGGCTGAATATTCATAGGTTTTCCACTCTTCACATGCCAAATAGGCATTATTTTACCTTGAATTTGTACCTTTCTTAAAGATTCAAGTTTGTTCTCGATACAGTAGCATGAAGCAAGGGAAACTTAGCCGAGAATACGTAAGACCAAAGAAAAATAACTAAAGAGTTGGAACCCGCGGGAAGACGGAAGCTAAAAAAACGAATCAGGGTTCGAGTACCTCAGACGACAGTCAAGAAAAGAGTTACTTGTTTTAAGATTAAAGTTTGTATTCGATTGAGTAGTATAGTTAACTAAGAGTATAAACACCATAGGGCTCAAATCTCTGGGAAGAAGTCAGACTGAAGTTTATTCTTCAATAAATTTTCTAAAATAAATTTGAATTCTTTTCATCGTTATTCAGCTTCCCGAAGAAGGACATAATTTGAACAACTTAACATTAACATAAAACTACTCATAAAGCTAATAAAAATAGAATAGTTATATGGCAAAGGAAAAAGGCTATAATTTCATGTTTGATCCAAGCTTGGTTGCAATGTAGCACAGTTATTAAATTGATATAATACTCTACTACACTGTACTATACTATACCATGTTATTCCATACTATACACTACTATACTATAGTAATTCATACTATACTTTCCCACACTATACTCATTTATAATATGCTATACAACACTATATATACTACACAGCTATGCAACACTATATTACTTTAGCGATTGGGAGTAGAGCTCATCACTGTTGCTGTATCTAGATAAAAATCATACTTATTGGATTGCTCGCCTTCGCCTTCGCCCCGAGATCGACTGAGAGCGCGGCGGAGAGTGAACCGCGTAAAAGTGACTCGCGGGTGCGCCGTGGCCTGTCGGGGTCGGTCGGCGGGGACCGCTGTCTGTCTGTTTGTCTCACTGCGCATTGCGCACTGCGTGCGGAATTTTCTTTTTCGAGTTCGGTTCGGTTCGGTTTTGGGTGCCAGTCAGTTAGTCTGTGAGAAAACGTCGGGCCGTTTGGTTGTTTTTGGGTTGTTCGCTTGATTTTCGGTTGTTTTCAGTTGTTCGGCACGCATTGCCTCCGCTTTGCCTGGGCGGCCTTTGGCTTATCGAACGAATTCGAATTCGTTTCTTGCGGGCGGAAAACTCTGCGCACCCCGAATGTGAGTGTGCGAGCGTGTCTCTTTCTATGTGTGTGTGTGTCTGTGCACTAAGTGGAAAAGCCGCACATTTAAAAATTTTAATTTATTTTTAAGTTATTTATTTTCTTTCCTTTCGTTCGGTTTGGTTTGCTTCTGTCGGCGCTTTTTGTCATTTTTATCAAGAATTCTGGATAAAAAAAATGTACTGAATGAAAGCGTTTGTTGTTGCACAGAAGCAAATGCATCTCAATGTGTTGAAATGTGCTCAACATGCACACACACTCACACACACACACACATCCTACCAACCAGTGCAAATTGACCGTGAATATGGATGCTGTTCTTGGTGTTTAGGGCTTTTCGAGAGATATATGTAGATATAGATGCATATATGGCACAAATATAAAATCCGAAACAGAATATGTCGTATAACGGAAATATGCATGTGGAACAGTGTTGAAAAATAGCTAAAAATATGATTTTAAATAAAGCGTGTATCGAATCGAAAGTTAACTAATTATTTAAAAATGTTAAATGTGATATTGAGAGATAAATGAAGTTTAAAAATATAAAAAGTTTATAAACTTAACACAACACTTAAAATCAAAGCAGCGTGAGCCTGTAAACTGCCAAAAGTTATTGACAATTAAAAAAAATATAATAATGAATATTATAAAAAAAAAAACACACAGAATATATGATTCTGACTGGAAAATAAGCATAACTATAATATAAGTATACCAAAAAATAATAAAATCAAAACTAAGCAAAGTTTAAAAATGTGTTCATGTTTAAAAAAGTGTTCTTAATATATTTGACATATTAAATATTAATCAAATTAAAGGTGTTAAACAATAAAACATATATGAAAATGTTGAATAAATAAATAAAACTCATACAATCAATAAAAAAAAAAACTTTTACTTATTGGATAAACAAATACCCTCTTAAATAAACGCCAAACAATAAATACAAAGAGCTTGACCAGACATTAAAGTGATTTTAATATGCACATCGAAAATGTTTTTCCTTTTGCCTAACCATATGCCAATATATGTGGATATATTTTTTTGGTATTCTACTCCCACGCAAAACTAAACACTAAGTGAGACTAAACATTAAGCATGCATTTTGCATATTCAATTATGAATCAATAGTCAATGCAGTCAACTTCATCTGCATCCGTTCGCTGCGAGAGTCGTTGAGGAAAGTGTCGAAAATCGGTGTGGGAAGGCGACGCCTACAAAAGACCTCGACACAAGATTACAAAAAAAAGGCATCTTTTAAATAGCCGCAGCTCGCAGCATTTTGGCTTATCAAATTGATTTTGACTACTAAAAGAGCGGCAAGCGCTGGTGTTTTGTTTGGATGCCACTAATTTTTTAATTACCTTAAAATATATCTGACTAAAGTATCTAACAAGTTGGGTAGAACTTTCCAAACGAAATGCAGCTGCAGCGAGTCAGCGTCGGGTGCATCTCTCAGATACAGATACATTTATGAATTTTTATGTAAATGCGTTCGCAACACGCGCCCGTCATAAAACCAGACCAACGATTGTCACATTTGGGTGCACTGCGTCGCCAAAGTCTGGACGGGGCATCTCGAATTGTATTTTGACTGCGCGAAGGGCCATAAAACTAATGACAAGCCCAGGTCCGGACGGATGCGCAGCCCAGAAATTAACTAGTAAAATTAGCTAACAAGCCGGCGGCAGCCTGCAATTGACCCCGCCAGGATGTCGAATCTCTGGCGTGTATTGCATTCGCATTCACGAGTGCTTCGCCCCCTTTTTCATATCGAATATAAACATACTCCATATACTGAACATATTCATAATGCTTGGGCACCGATCTCGTTGCCCCCCTCTCTCACCCTGCCCCTCTGCGGGCTGCCAGCTTTCCCGACTTCTGTGTCTGCGTATTTTTAGCTGCCCAAGGCGTAAATAATTCATTTTCCAGTCACAGTTGTTGACGTTCGTCGCACGAATATTCCACCAACTGACGCCAAAGCGGGGCGGGTGGCAGCAGCGGCAGCATAACGGGAAATGCCTCCTTGTCAGCCTCCTGACATCCCCCCCCCATCACAAATGTAGGCTGTAGGTGCATTTTTTCTGATTTCCACCCAAGGGATTTGCGTTCGCGTCGCCGTTGATTTGCATCTAAACTTGAAAGTGTTTGTGCGCCCTATTTGGCCTTTTGATATCTTTTCATACACTGTTCGCCAAATGGAGAACGAGCATATTGGTCGGTCTGGGAAAGTAAAAGGCGAGAGACTTTAAATCGGAGATATGCTTATATATCATATGAAGGTTTGTTTATCCAGTTTTATCGATATCTTCTACGATTCTGCGATAAATATCAATTTTGAGACATGGTTTTGCAAGCGTAACAAAGCTAATCTTTCAGGTAAAACCTTGTGTTTATATTAATATCAGACCAAGAAACATTGAAATAATCAAGATAGATTTTCACCCAGCATGGGGCAAATGTTGTGTGTAAGCGTACAAAGGCAATGATAGGCCGAAGCTAGACTGCTAACAAAGTCAGTTCAGGGTAGGTCCTAGCTAGGTATTCCCTATAGCCCTCTTGTTTTTAAATTTTCAAAAAAATGTTTAAATAGGCTGGCGCATTGCATTGAACTTTGACTGCAATTGCGCTGCCTGGCAAAATCATGAACTAGAAATTCCACTTTGTCAATTTGCTGGCATCAAATAAATACAAAAAAAAATAAGAAAATGAGGGTGAAAAAACGTATATACCACATACAATGTTAAGCTGCGTGGCATGCCACTTAAGTTGCTTTTTATGGGCGTCTCTTACTTGGCCCAAAATACAATAAATTTTACTCAGCGCCGGCGACGCCGCTGCCGCTGCGCAGTTTGAAGTAAAGTGGCAGCGGGGCTTTGGGGGGGTGTGCGCTGCATTGGCCCAGCAACTCAATTAAGTGTCCATAAAATATCCAGATACGCTAATCAATGATATATATACATATGTGGGGCTTGTACAAATTGCTTTGAGATGTACCAAGCGAATAACTTGAAGCAATGGCGGATTTCTTTTCAATTACAAAAGATTTGTTCGCAACAAATGTTTGGCAATTGAGATAAACTCCAGAAAAAATTGTACATACAGTATTTTAGACATAAAAGGATGTCAAGAAAGTTTAGAGAGTACAGTAAGAAATTTAAATAAATAATTAAAATCTATAAATGAAAATAGGGAATATTAATAAGCCTATAAAAGTTCATTTAATAATCAAACAATTTTTTTAAAATATTGGAATATAAAAAGAAGAAGAGCTTTCACACCTACAACAATCACAGACATAACGCACACAATTCATCCTGCAAGTTTAAGTGTAGAGCTTTTGAAAGCTCACTAATACTAAAGCAAACCATTTGAAAGCGTTCAACCAAAATTTTGATTCCTTATGAAAAGCAAACAAATTTTGTTAAAATTAAAAGTAATTCCGAAAACAAAAACCAATAAAATTTCAATTGAGTTCAGCTATCAAACGACAGCTGTTGATAAATGTGTGTCTATTAAAATATTTTACTGTGCATTTAAAAATTGATTATAAAAAACTAATTAAGTGCCGCCCCAGCATTAAATGAGTCTCACGAGTGAAATAAAATTCAAAATAAATCAAAATAAAACAAAAAAAAAATCGAATATGTTTTGTTTTTTTCAGTGCGCATCAACCAAAAACGTAAAGAAAAACCAAATTGTGATCAAACTGTGTTCAAAATGAAAACGCTTCAACAGCAAATTGAAACGTAATCAAGCAAACAGTGGAAGAGTTGGCGATATTGAAAGGCTGTCCGGAGCACAATTCTATATAGATAGCTTCAAAGGCAGCCCCCAAAACGGCCTGTCTGTCTATAAGTGTGGGCTGTCCGACTTTCCGTCTTTCTGTCTTGCCGTCTGCTGCCCCCCTGGTGCAAACGCATGAGTTCTGTCAACGAAATGACATGCAGCATCTGTCTATGTAGCCGTAGACCAGGACGTGCTGCTGTGTCTCAGTTGTTGCTATTTTTATGAGCACACTGCTCTCTCCAATCTAAAGAGGGACGGCCCCGACGACGACGGATGCGTGGCCCCATGAAAAATCAATTAACACGCAGAATTATTAAAAACGACCAACAAACCAAAAAAACAGAAAAGAAAAACGAATAACGAAACCCAGCTCCTGGCTGCAACGATCTTGGGCTGTGTAATTTTTATAACTTCAAAGCAGCTGCAGCGCTATGTTGCGCCTCTGTGGATTTCGGATTGGATTTGGATGGCTGCTGGCCGTGCTGCAAGTACTGCAAGTGCTGCAAACGGCTAGCACTATGAAAGGTAAGTCGGGCTGCAGAACAGTTAATTAAATGTTACGCTCTTGAAATCGCAGTCGGTAGCTGCTGCTGCGACACAGAACTTAATACCGCACGGGCATAAACATGCGATTTATCATGGCAAATGATCAACGCACGATTTATGCTCATTACAAATATGGCCAGACACGAATTGGCCGCAAAGGCGACACTCGAGCAGAAGCAGCAGCTGCTGCTGCTCCAACGTGGGCCATGTCCAAATTGCATTTACTTAGCTGCCAACAAATAAATAAAAGTCAAAATAAAGAGTTGCAAATGGTGCAGTCAAGATACGTTTCTTTTTCTTTTTTTTTGCGAGTGTTGCATGTTAGTTAAATGGCAGGCACTGTGGGCAGCAGAAAAAAAGTAGCTGCGCAACAACTTAGACAGCAGAAAGTTTCAAAAAGCTTTCACGAAGATGCAACTCACGGACGTAGAGCAGCCAGACAGCCGCGAACGTGATGCGTGCAGCATTTAAAAGCTCACCAATACTTGTGCATATTATGGTAGTATAACATCTCGGGCAGCAGGACCTTATAGAGAGCTTTCACACAGATGCAACTCACGTACGCAACGCAGACAAACATTAGCGAACAAAATGAGAGCAGCTTTTTAAAACTCACCAATACTTGTACGTAAATTGATACAAATACAAAAAAAAATTATTAAGAGAGCTCACACACACATGACAGCCAGGCAGCATGCATAAATTAATTTGTTATTCCAGTAAATTGCAAAATATCTCAGCTGTTAGCAACTAATAAATTAAATACATTTAAATGTGATTATGGCCCACCATAAAGCTCAAAATAGAAAGTGTAAATAAATATTTGCTAGGGAAATTCCATTTTACTATAATAGCTTTGGCCATGTATCTGGCCTTGAATACTGGAAATTGGATTGTAACCAGCCCGATTTTGGTTTTAATATGCACAAATTTAGATATTCAATGTTTGCCAATTTTTATGTAATTTCCTGGACATAACTGCGGCCAATTTGACTTGGTCTTGTGCCAGTATCTTATTTTCTTCTTCGTGTTTTTTTTTTTGGGTTGTTTAGGGCGCAACTTTCTCAAGTTGTGTCTGCGCCATGGTAACCGCTTGGTCGTAAAATCCAACTAGTTAAGTAAAATGCGCCGTCGCCGTGCACTTAACGCATTTTTCACGCTTGACATTTGACTTGGGGCGCACTTTTGTCGTTGTTGTCGCTCGATATCTCCACTTCGTTTGCCAGCAACTACGTTGTGGCATGCCACAAAACGTTGCAAGTCGCCACACAGACAGCTACAGCGAGCATGCTCTTAATTCTCATCACCACAAATACGTATATATCTATATATATATACATATATTTCGATATTGTTTGTATCTATATAGTATATACACGCTTATTTTTGGCCGCTTGGTCTTGGGCGCAAATGTTTTTCTATATTTTATTTTCTGATATTTTTAGTTGGCACGTGACGTCACTTTGCAAGACGCATGATTCATGCAGCGGCAACAGTCAACGCGAATTTTCCTCTATTTTCTTGTTATTGTTTCGCGCTTTATTTGCGATTTTCACTGAATTTGTATTTATACAACACGAAATGTAAATGATTTACACGCGCAACGCATTGTGCCAATTTTAACACAACGCCACGGCAACAGATACAGATACAAATTTATCTGTGACTCTGCAGCTGAATATCTGGCGCACCATGTGCTTTGCTGCTCTTGCTGTCTCTTGACTATTCATTATTTTGATACCCTGCACACAGTGCACATGAATGGAAAAGGGTATTTTGTAGTTGTGCGATTTTTTGTGAGAGGCAGAGGCGGGCCAGGATGATGAGATTTGTCGATCTATCTATGTAGGTCTGTACGTTCGCGTGGATCTCAGAGTCTACAATCTTCGATAATTATTTTCTTATCGATATGAAGATCTAGTTTTACAGCATATTTCAAATACTATTAAGGCTAGAACTATTAAATTCGACAACTAGATTCTAGAGAGTTAATGCAGAAAGAGATTTAATTTTTACCTTACTATCTCCTCCCATTTCCCCTTTAATAATGTTAAAATAACAATGTTAAAAATTGATTTTGAGACTTGGTTTTTTAACTAAACTCGAAGTTTATTAAAGCCAGGTACACAATTCTCGTTTATATATACTAATTAAATATGTTTCAATGCTTCGTTTATCTCCTATTTCGACTCTCTCCAAAATGGACAAAGTCCTAAATATGTTGAAAAGATCGGACTATAAACACCGAGGATCATCAAGGAGGTATTACCTTATACAGACGGATGTTCATTTTCTTTCAGAGTATGCCTTAGTCAGGCATCCTTCTGAATTACTTGTTACATACTTGCTTACTTGATAAATATCAATATGTGTTCCGCTAACTGCCTGCTTAAGTCACGTAGATGTGCAGATGCATTTATACTTATTCCCCAAATTAAAAATTCTTATTTATTTTCGCGGCATTCTCAACAGCATTGTCATCGCTTCCGGAACATTTTATGACTTGTCGATTGCCGTTGCTCGATTATTGTTTGTCAGTTGTTGATAGGCAAAAATAAAAACAATAATACAAAGGAAAAAGGCCAAATGCATACTTATAATTGAATTTTATGTGGCCCCGGGGTCTAATTAGGCTGCGATGCGCCGCTCCGCAGCCACATTCCACATGTTTATCTGCTGCGGCTTGGCATGTAATAAACTGGTGAAGCGCCTAACCAAATGGATTCTTAAATGTATTTCGCTATATGTTCATGTTGGTTTTATTTGATTTAAATTGATCTCTTCAGTTGTCGAATGAAGCCATAAAATGTTTTGAGAATCAAGCACACGAGGGGGCAAATGGCTTTCTGCCTGTGAAAGTGTTGTTCCAGCAACCATCTTTCAGTTATATAAAGATCAACTTGGATCGCAGATATGACAGAGACCAATAATGAGCCAAGGAATTGACCGGAATGGAAAGCATGTGTTAACTATTGTAATTAACATACTTATGATTTTATGTCACATTAGACTCAAGCTGTTAATGATAGAATTCCCCCATTATATTCTCAATAACTGAGTCTATTAAAGATATCTTTTAAGCGTTTCGACGGTAATTTCATTAAAAATTCTTCAAATTGCTTTCGAAAAAACTCAGCATTATGGATAATATTTGAAGGGTTTAAAAGATCTTCTATAAACTTTAAGCTCTGGCTGTGCTTCTTCCCGCCTTTGCCCACATTATGGAAAAAATTATCTTGGGTAACTAAGGTGCTTAAAGTCAGATCTTAACTAAACTTTCTAGGATTAAATGGGGCATTTTAATGTGTGTACATACCAAGGCTCTAACTTTATAATTGAGTTCTTTCCAGTCTCTTAGAGGGAATGCGCCGAGATATCCCAAAAATGACATATTTTTAATCTATATAACTATCCAAGAACCCACATACCAAGTTTAATGTATCTAGCTCCCAAGGTTTTCGAATTATGCTTAAGAAACTAAGTCTCAAAATCGATATTTATTGATATTTTGAAAACGCAAGAAAATATCGATAGCATGATAAACTTCTGATAAACTTCTGCTTCTGCTGTTGATATCCATTAAAACTTATCATTCGGCTGCAAACCTAAGTCAGAAATAGCATAAAAAAAATATGTATCTATATCTCTGCTGCGCTTCACCAATTAGTTCAGGTTCATAAAAACTGTAGCTAGATCCATAAATTTCGAGTGCAATTCGCCGAAGAACACGCAACAAGCGCACAAATCACATATGCCAGCAATAAACTGTGACATTATTAGTAAAAATAACTAAGAAGGAAAATGCATCATCAGAAAATTATAAATTGTCAATGTCGGAATAAAAATGTTGTAATGAATGCGCTCCGCCAAACATGAAATACAAGCGAGATCCAAATACCTGAGAGCCCAGCAAAGGCGTATTAATTAAATTAAGAGAGAGAGAGAGAGAAGCAAATGCCGCTGTGTGGCCATCAAAGCGAATGCATAAAAAGCATATAAAGTCGGGCAACTGAACGACCAAATGCGACATATAACTCAAATCAAATAAACATTGGCCATAACATAAATACCGATTCGCTTGCCACGCACGGTGCGATTGGAGAGTTGCCCCACAGCAGCGGCAGCTAAGATAAACATAAATTTCACAATTTGGATGGCAGCGAGCGGGGGTGGTGTCTGGTGTGCAGCATGTCACATGCCGCCTGGCCAAGTTGCCACGCATCTGTTGCCATAATTCTTGCAACGCGCTACTTGCCACACGTTATGAATGTGCATGCCGACTGCGTTGGTGTTGGCCTGATGATGACGTCTCATTTGTTGCGGCGCCGACATCTGAGTTGCAGCCGTTGACTGCGGATGCAAATTGCTTGCAACTTCCGGATATACTCGCTTTATGCCCCAAACATCCAACATGCCGCCCGCCCGCGCAACTACTTGGGTTTCTAAACAGAAATTCGTAATGGGTAAAGGGTTTCAAAGTAGGATATATGCTGTAGAGAGACTGTTCCAAAAGAAGGAACCCAACTTTTCTTCAATACCGATAAATATCGATTGTCTGTCCCCATTGTTTGAGCTAACTTAGAAGATTATTAAATTTACAGCCAACAAAGCTCGTACTTTTACAGAAATATCCCAGCATTTCATTAAAATCGATGCATATCGAATAATATATATTTTCTGTCCCTATTAATTAGCTTGTTTCGAATATTATAAAAGCTAGTCTTCATAGTTGACAAACACATTCTGAAAGATCGTTAAATAGCGCTTATCATTTCCTATTATTTGAGCTTATTTCGGAGATTTTAGGAACTAGAAACACCAGAGCTTGTATATCTTTGTATCGATTTTCTATAAGCGTATTCAGATCAAGTATTTTTCACTCTTTTGATACTCTTCTCACTCTTTTTCTAAAGTAAATATATATCGGTAGATAATATTTTCATTCCTGACTAATAATTTGCAAAAATGGAACCTATTTTCTTTAAAGTCGATAAATATCGATCTAGCCGTAAACACAATAAATGCTCAAGAACAAACCTTTATAAGTGTGAACCGAAGAAGCCCCGTCGAATATGAATATCTAGAGTATCAACCGATCAGGCACGTCCGACTAGAGCGCTCTGCCAGTTAGATTTGGCAGCAATAACAGCAACAAGAAGAAGAGCAGCTCTTAACAATATCTTAATGTAGGTCAATGCATTGAGTTGGGAAAGTGTTTTAGGTTTTCCGACAGTTTTTGACGCCTAATGGCTGCTAATTGGCGTCAAAATGGCTCTGCCAACGCAGGCGACGCCGACGCTGACTCCGAAGCTGATCGCAGCAACAAAAGCAACAACAACAACAACAACAACAAACAAATTATTTGTTTCTCATTTGGCGTTGTTTATCTTGTTGACTGTCGTCGATTGTGCGTGTGTGCGTGCGTGCAACTGTTTCATGTTTATTCAAGCAGCTCAAAAATATATCCAGATACATTTCTAAATGTGGGTTAGGTCAATACGTGCATGTCCCAAAAAGATTTTGGAACCAAATGCTTGTGCTACAAATTGATGCCAAAGTTGAGGCATTCGAATATTTTGTAAAACTACCAAAATAAATCCGAAATAGAGCCCCGAAATGTGACAACTACATCTTCTATATAAACAAAAGCTCGTTCATAAACCAAGCAAATGGCTTGCAATTGGATATTGAAAAAAAAGGAGAGCATATCTGTTCATTTTCTTGGAAATCAAAGGCAACCTAAAGGCAAAAATCGCTCAAAATAAATTAAATAAATTATTCTTTTTAGAAAATATGCTAATTATAGTTACGATAATTTATTATTCCAAGCTAAATAGTTATAAAAACAATGACAGCAATAAGAGCATCATTGATTTCCATGAGATCTTATATGACCTTAAGGTAATCTAAATCTGAAAGCTAAAACTTACGAAACTTACATTGTCTACCTATTGAAGCACATGCTCAGATCTTTGAAATGAAATTGTGCTGCTCTGTCAAAGAGTATAACAAGGCTAGAAGAGCAAAATGGGGCCACAAGATATTACGAGCAGAGGGCAAACTTGGCGGCACGGCTAATTAAGCAAATCAAGTACAAGATGGATCTATAGATAGATGGATTGATATGTAGATAGTTGAATAGATAGCTAGATAGATTGACAGAGTGCACAGACATTGACTGACAGGCTGACAGCTGGCCAAATGATGTGTGCACAATTCGAGCCAATCAAGTGGAGCTTGTATAGATTGCAACAGATGCCACATGCCACATGTGGCAGGCGTATCTGATGAAATGCCCATTCAAATTTGTTTATTTGCCCGTTACAGTTTCGCTATACGGCGATGGCTATGTATCGATGCCGCTGCAGGAGGCCAAAATGTCAACGAATATACGCGTCAAGTTTCGCACCAGGCAGGCGGATGCATTGCTCTTTCTGGCGGCGGGTCGCACCGACTACTGCCTGCTGCGACTGGAGAGCGGCCAGATCAGTTTCAGCTATAAAATCGAACGGGATGTGGTCCAGGTGAGCGTCGAACCTGTTGCATATTTTAGTTAAATGCCACAACACCGATTCCTGTTTGACTGTTTTGTCTGTTGCAGCTGCGTTCGCCCAAGAAGCAGCCACTTAACGACCTGGAGTGGCACGATGTGGCCGTGCAGCGTTTCGAGAACAATGTCACCTTGCAGGTGGACGGTCACATAATGCGCAAACAGCTGCCAAACGATTCGCAAGCTTTGAATGTGCATTTTGGCACCTTTCTCGGCGGCGTTGGCGATTTTACGGCCGAGTTTCTCAACGATGTCATCGGCTTTCGCGGCTGCATATCGGACGTGAGTGGCGGCGCCTCCAGCCATAGCAATCGCTTGATCAGTTAATCTAATCGAGTTCTTTCCGCTTTAATTGTGTGGCAGGTCTTTTACAACAACATCAACATCATAAAGCGTGCCAAAGATCGCACCGGCCACACGACCAGCACCGGAGTCGCCTGGACCTGCAGCAATGAGTTCGATGGCGGTGTTCAGGATAGCATCAGTTTCCTGAGCAATGATTCCTTTGCGCTTATGCTCAAGGAATCCCATGCCACGGGCGAAAGGTAAGTGGTATGAGGAAAAATCACAATTAATATACATCGTTTTAATCCAGACAAACGACTTGAGTCGATTGTCCGTCTCTTGGCACTCCTCGATCTCATAAGCTACTAAAGCTGAACTTTAGGAATTTTAAATATATATTTTTCTATGCCATACGCAGAATAAGCTCATAAATTTATGCCAATATCTCTTTCAATACTTACACAAGCGATAAATATTGATTTGACGATATACTTTGTTAAGTTAGTTAGTTAGAACAAGCTTGTTATATAGGTTCTCGATTTCAAATATTTCATATTTCGAATACCTCCCTCTTTGAGCATGAAATTGGAAAACGTGGCATTCTTTAATGTAGAGTCACGCCTGGTTATATACACACATTTTGATGCCATATTTAGACCTTGAAAGTTTCATAAAGAAGTTAATCAAGGAAGCATTCCTTATAGAGTTGGGTAAAGAGAACATGATTTGTATAGCTGGAATGTCCTAATCACGTTGTTTTCAGCTTAGGGTATCTCCTGGTCAAGCACTCCCAACTCAATAGCTCTTGCTTGCAGCTCCTTTTTGCAGACATTAATTAAAGATTATTATTAAATCGAAGATCTAACACTTTTAGCAGAAAGTCGCAAAGATCTGCCTAGCCACTTTTTAAGCATCCGATTACCATTTCAGTCTCTCGTTTCAATTTCGCACCATGACGGAGTCGGGCACGGTGTTCTTCAATGGCGGCTACGACTTTCTGCTGCTGGAGATTGAGGATGAGAAACTAAAGCTGACGTTTAACAAGGCCGGCAGCCTGGTGCAGTTCATGACAAATGAGACAATCGCCGATGGCAAATGGCATCGTGTGGTGTTGCGCTATAATGCCGTCATGGCGGAGCTGCAGCTGGACGATGGGGCAGCGGCATATCGAGGAGAGCACGCTAATGAGACCAAGGCAAGCATAAATCTTGAGAAGAGCGTCTTCTTTGGCGGCGTGCAGGAGGAGATGCGCCGCCGGCTGATCAACAAAGGGCTGCGCATCAATGAGCTCAGCTTCAAGGGCTGCATGCGAAATCTTCAAGTTAACAGCCTGGCATTGGGTTTCGCCGAGATGAGCATCTCCCGCCACTTGGCCCTCAACTGTGTGTGGAAGTATCCGTGTGTGGAGCACAGTCCCTGCCTCAAGAGCGGCATATGCAGCCAGCATGGCGTGGATGAGTTCATATGCTATTGCGATCAGTCCTACTGCATTAAGGCCGATTTTCAGGGTCCATTCAAAGTGAGCTGTTCACTGTTCTCTGCTCGTTTACCATTTTGATTATTGGTTATTTCTTGCAGATCTTCACGGAGACCAGTCCGGAACTGGAGCTGCTGTATGTGTCGCCCATGCAGCTGCTGGAGGGCGGCACCGCCTTCCTCTCGCCCCAGCACATCGATGTGCTGCTCGACACACGGCGCTATCCCAGCCTCAACGAGCAGTCGATTGCCTTCCATGTGGTGCAACCGCCCAAATATGGCCAATTGCTGCAGTATTCGCCGGAGAAGGCCAACTTTGTGCCCTGCCGCAGCTTCAATCTCGTCGACTTGGCCACAGACAAGCTCAAGTATGTGCACAATGGATTGGAGAACTTTAACGACCACGCCACACTAGATATGCAAATCTATGGGGATCCGCACAAGATACCCGAGAACATACTTGGCAAGCATCGTTTCCTGCTCCATGCGAACATCACGGCTGTCAACGATCCGCCCCAGCTGCAGCTGAACTCGCACAAAATTCTGCGCGTCATTGAGGGCATCGAGCGGGTGCTGGACGTGGATCTGTTCAATATCGCCGATCCGGATAGTGAGCCCAGCGATTTGATCTATACCATAATGCCGTCGGCCAATTCCCAGGAGGCCTTTGGCCGCTTTATGGTTGGGGGCATACACACGATGACCTTCTCGCAGGCGGACGTGAATGTGGGCAAGGTCTCCTATTTGTACAATTCGACCACAACGGAAGCATTTAGCTATCAGCTGCTGCTGCAGGTCTCCGATGGCATCGAGACCAGCGACACAGTCTATTTACCCGTCTCGGTGCATCCCTTGGAGCTGCGTGTGGTCAACAACACGGGCCTCATCATGATACACAAGAGTTCCCTGCTGCTGTCCCCGGCCAATCTCTCCATTGGCACCAACGCGGTCGACGAGCACATCGATATACGCTACGACATTGTGAAGCCTCCACAGCATGGCGCACTGCAGCGTCTGCGACAGATCGATGGCACCTGGATCAACGTGGAATGGTTCACCGATAGCCAGCTGCTGCTGGGACACATACGGTATCTGCACAGCAGCGATTTCCCTTGGCAAGACGAATTCAAGGTGCGTAAGAAGTGGAAAGAGTTTTGTTTTGGGGGAAAATGAGTGGAATAAGAGAAAAAGACCCTTCAAACTTTAGTCTACAACCTAGCTAAGCCTGTTCGAATTTCATTAAGAGCCCGATGTAATCTGTAGATCCTAGGCGAACCTCTTCGGATCTCCTTGAGAACCCAAAATAATCTGTAGAGATCCGAAAACGCAATCACACTCTCTCACCCACTGATAATATTTCTATAACCCTTACAGTTCATTGCCTCATTTGGTTTTGTGACAACGCAAACCTTTGACTTTCGGATAACCTTCACCCGGCTGCGCATTGCCAGCAGTTCGCCAGCGGTGATCGCAATCAATGGAACGCGTGAATTTCTGCTGACCAACAATCTGCTGAACTATGAGACGGTGCCCATTGGCAGCTTCTCGCGCAATGTCATCTATAAGATCAGCAAGCCGACCAAATATGGCGGCATCTATGTGGAGGGATCACGCAAAGCGGCCAAGCAGATGGACTCGTTCACGCAACAGGACATAGACAAGCGGCGCATACACTATAAGACGCATCACAGCTGCTACTCAAGCTTTACGGATCATCTGGAGTTTGTGGTGTCTGTCGCCGAGTGCGACGATGTCGTCGGCAAGCTGCAGATCATATTCAATCCGTTGACCGAGCTGACACACAAGCTGCACTATCAGAAGTTCGAGACGGTGCAGGTGCAGGAGGGCGAACGGGCGTTGATTACGAAAAATCACTTCGAGATACGCTTCAATATCTATGAGAGTCTGCAGTTCCAGGTGTCTGTGCCGCCGGCTCATGGTCTGGTGTGCAAGTACGATGAGCAAACGGGCCTGACCACGCCCATCGAGCTGTTTACGCTGGAGCAGCTGTTCCGCAACGATATCTACTATTGTCACGACGATACGGAGTCCACGCTCGACGGCTTCGAGCTGCTCATACTGTCCAGCGATGAGACGGATCTACAGTTTGTGGCCAAAATGGAGGTGCACATCAAGCTGGTCAACGACAATGAACCCTATCGCAGTGCTGTCGAGCGTGTCTTCCACGTGGTGCGCAACGGCATACGCACACTGAATCCCACTGCGCTGCAGTATCTCGATGCGGATGTGAATACGAATCACACCGATATACATTATATACACGTGTCCAGCACCAATGGCGCCTTCTATAAGTCTGGCCATTTTATAGACAGCTTCAGTCAGGATGACATTGCCAATCGGCGCATTATGTTCCAGCACAGCGGTCCGGATGTGGGCACTGCCTCGTTCATTGTCACGGATCGGGAGCATGAGGTGAATGGACAGCTGGAGATACGCGCCTCGGATCCGTTTGTGTCCATGCTGCCCGCCAACGCGTCCATCGTACAGGAGGGCAAATTCGTAATACTCAAGAATACGGACTTTGTGCTGGAAACCAATTTGGACATGAAGCTGGATAGCATCTACTATGAGGTGATCAAACCGCCCGCCTATGGCATACTCATGTATCTGAGCGGTCAGCGGGGTGGAGCGGACCGGGAGAACGGCACAGTCATGCATAAGGCCACGAATTTTACATCCCTGGGCAACTTTACGCATTTGGATATCGAACGCGAACGTTTGGTCTATTGGAATACGGAAATTGCATCGATGGATAAAGTGAGGTAGGTCTTATCCGTCTTTTATCCGTAAACGATCATCATCCACGCGAAATTTCATTTAGTTGCGCAAATAAAACACCTTCGCAAGGGTATTCAAAGGGAAATGAATTCATAATTCTTGAAATAGCATAAAATATAAGAGCACGATTACCATCAACTATATTATAATTCCCCAAGTAATAATAAATATAAGAGCACGATACCTGCACAATGCTCTCTTGCTTTCGCTTGACCCTCTCGTTCTCTCTCTCTCTCTCTCCCTCGCTGGCTGTGGATTCAGTTAGAATGCGCGCCAATTTTTTGCTGGTGAAAAAGCTGTGCACCAACAAATACGCACTTTGCCGCTGGTTTAATATCACTTGGAGGACGGATATAGGCATACACATACGCATACATATATAAGCACATGATATATGGCAGTTAACAAACACACGCGGCACAAATAACTCGCGTTTTAGTTGATTTTACTTTGTGAGCAAACGTTTTTATACACACACGCAAAAAAAAAAACACGACCGGTTTACAGGACAGACGCGCACAGACTAAATCGCCTTATTAAGCTCGCGCCTACGCTTAGCCAGCACTCACACCAATACAATAACAACAAAGAGCACACAAATATTGCAAGCTCCTGCGCTCACACTTTTGATAACGGGATCAAAAGCAGTGCGACCAATGGCGTGCACGCAGTGCGCATATAAATACTGACTCTCATATGATGCAGCATGCTCTCTCTCTGCTGCCTGCGGTCCAAACATGTAGCGGTATTTAAGGCATTTACAGTTAACGGATCAATTACCTCCCACGCTCACGCGAGTCACAATGATGGAGAGGGGTAAATGCTCTCTGCAGAATGTTCCTGTAGGAGCTACAATATAATGTAGATCGATATTAATCCATTTTTACTTAAATTTGTCGGCTAAATAATATTTTACCATGAATGATTCCTATGATTTTAAGAAAAGATGCCTTGGTTTTCTGATCGTAAAAAATGATCTCTTTACAGATATCGTGTGCACATTAAGAACATAACAGCTGAGGGCGAGGTCATCTTTCGGATCTATCCGTCGGCCTATTGGGAGCCGCTGCATGTGAAACAGAATCACACGCTCTATGTGGAGGAGTCAACGAGTGTCCTAATCTCACGTGACATTCTGGAGGTAAGTGAAGAAGAAGCAGATATTTCGAACATAATACCTAAACGAATCCAATCTGATCTCAGGTCGTGCATCCCAACATTTCGCCGGGTGACATAACCTTCCTGGTAACTTCGTCGCCAATGCACGGATATCTGGAAATGCAGTCAATGTCCTTTGACGATGAATACAACTGCAAGGTCTTTGATCAGTCTTCGGTGAATACGGAAAAGATGTTCTATATTCAAGCGGGCGTTAATCAGTCCTCGGATTACTTTGTGTTCGATGTGACCAACGGGATTACCTGGCTGCGTCAGCTGATGCTGAAGATCGTCATCATACCGGAGAAGCTGTACATGCACGCGAACATCATCTCCGTGGTGGAGGGCAAGACGGTGCAGCTGAGCGCCACGGATATACAGCCCTATTCGGAGTATTATCGGGGCAAGATACTGGAGTATATAGTCACCATAACGCCCAGTTCGGGTCATATATTGGCGGGCAGTTCAAAGGTCAAGCGCTTTACCCAGAAACAACTCGAACAGGGCAGCATACAGTATGTGCACAATGGCAGCGAGAATAGCACGGATAGCCTCACCATGGTTGCCATGGCCAGGAACAAGGAGAGCGTGCCCTTTGAACTGGAGCTGGCGGTGGTGCCGGTCAACGACGAGGAGCCCATGATGGTCACCAACACGGGTCTACAGGTGTGGAACGGCGGTCGCTATGTCATCCGGAATACAGATCTATGTAAGTTGACTGACTGATTGATTGATTGACCGATTGACTAACTCACCTTTTAGTGGCCCAAGACTATGACACGCCGCCGGAGAATCTCACGTACATTGTGCATCACATTTACGGCGGTTACCTGGCCGAGAAATCCTCCACTCTGCACAAGATCGAACAGTTTACGCAGGCGCAGATCAATGCCGAGAAGATCTATTTCATGCACGATGCGAACTCCCGAAGGAACGAGCTCTCCTTTGTCGTCACGGATGGACTCTTCAATACCAGCACCCAATTGCTGAACATAGAGATCAAACCTATTGAGATTCTGGTCGAGCGAAATGAGAATCTGCATGTCTTTCCGCTCACGAAGAAGCAAGTCCTGCGCGATCATTTGCACTACAAGTGCTCGGACGAGGAGCGCGAGATACGCTACAATGTGACAGTTCCGCCCAGTTTGGGCCGGATCGTCAACGAGTATCTGGGCAATGGCTATGCGAAGGAGATCAGCGAGTTTACCCAGAACGATGTGGACAACGGGCACATCTTCTATGAGCACACGGCGGTCATTATGGAGTTCCGCATCAATGATTCCTTCTACTTTGACGTGGTGGCCGAGCGCAGCGATCGCCTGTTGGACCAGAAGTTCAATATTGAAATATCGGTATCATCGGGTGGCCTATTGCGATTTCTGCCCGTTTCCAAGCTAACCGTGGACGAGGGCGGCTCGGTGCCCATCAAGCTGGATTTCTCCAAAATCTTGGAATATCTGAAGACACGTGCGGGCATCAACAATCCGGAACTGTTTATAGAGGCCGCACAGAAGCCCTCGCACGGCAGCATTGGTCTTGGCCACGAGTTAAAGTCCATGCAACGATATCATCCCAGCGACTTCTTCACCAAGAAGGTGTACTACATACATGACCACACGGATACCCTGGAGGACACCATACTCATGGGCGTGTATCTCACGCAGGGGTAAGTTGAACGAGAATTAAATTCTAGAGATTGCAAAAAAATGTATATTTAATTAAAAGTTTTTTATGTTTCATTGATCTACTTACTGTTGGAAATAATCTTGGTTCTAGGTTCACAGATCCTTTTCAGCATACAGAAACATCTAGAAAAGAGATAGTATTATTGAAAATAATTAATTTATTATATTTTTACTTTTGCAGGAATATATTTTTGTGCAATTTGACAATACCCGTGTCCATAAATCCGATCAACGATCAGCCCTTCCAGCTGGTCACCCATCTGCCGCAAATGACGGTGGTTGAGGGCGAGAATCGAACGATAACACGCAATGTGCTGCTCACAGAGGATAAGGATACGCCGCCGGAGGAGATTATTTACGATGTGATGAGCGGCCCGACGCTGGGCGTGCTCAAGAAGTTGAACAACGATGGCCAGCCGGAGGAGCTGCTAGCGTTCTCCAATCAGTTTACGCAGGCGGACATTAACAATGATCGCATTATCTACGTGCACTTTGGCATGCCGCAGTCGACGACCTTCTGCTTCACCGTGACCGATGGCCAGTTTAATCCAGCCTATGAGATATTCACGATTAGAGTGGCGCCCATAAGTCTGCTGCCGGCGGGCACACAGACGCCCGTGAGTCTGCAGCAGGGCGCGACCAGTGCGCCGATGAGGCTGGAGCAGATTGGCCTGAGCACGAACGTGCAGCTGGAGCGCCTCTCCTATAACATAACCAATTCGCCGCTGTATGGCATCATCTTGTTTAAGCATCAGCCGACCCTGAGATTCAATCAGCAGCAGCTGGAGACATCGCAGATTAGCTACATGCAAACGGATCTCAATCGCTCCAACGACACGTTCCAGGTGAGCGCCTATGTGCCGGGCAGCAACTATGCCGCCCAGGTGGACGTGCTGGTCCATGTGGAGCCGGTTATCAAGATCAACGACATTGCCATGCGTGAGGCGGAGGCCGGCACGGGTGCGACGGCTGGCAAGATCCGGCTGACCAGCTATCTGGTGAATGACAATCCGCTCTCGCTGAAGCTGAACAAATTCAATCCCAAGTTTGTCATAACGCGCATGCCGACCACGGGTCAGCTGCGGAAGATCATACGCAGCAGCACGACGGGCTTCAATGGCGGCGATGCCCAGAACGAACGCTCCACCAACATCTTCTCGTACAAGGAACTGCGCAGCGGTGTCGTCTACTTTGTGCCGCACGCTTCCGTGGATGAAACGGAGCCGGACACCGATAGCTTTGACTATCAGCTGCTCATCAAAACCGTGCAGCCGGCACAGGCCACAGTCGCCATTGAGTATCGCGCCCAGTTGCAGGAAACGGAAACGGTGCATCTGGGCAATGCGGATATATCCATTAACTACCTGGCCGTGGGCTGTGCCCTGTTCATACTGCTCATTTGTCTGCTGCTTGTGCTGCTCTTGCTGAAGATGCGGCATATGCGCAAGCGTAAGGCGGACATATCCAAGGATCAGCCGCCGCCGCTGCCCTGTCCGCCGGACCTGACATCGGTCAGTCCACAGCATCACCATCATCATCATCATCATTATGCCAGCTCCGAAGCGGACTCGGTGCCGGCAACTGGAAATTCCACGCCGCTGCCGGGCTTTAGCAATATACCGCACTGCAAGATCATACCCGTGGAATCGTACAAGCACGAGTATCCCGACTACGATCCCGATGAGGATGAAACGGACGATCAGTGTGATCCGCAGCAGATGATGCTGCCGCAACGCTACAATCCCTATCACGTCGATCACGATGCCTGGAGCTCGTCCTGCGACATGGCCAACGATTTTGCCGGCTATGCATCCGTGCCGCAGAGCATATCGATTTCCGGCTCGGTTAGCTCGCCGACCTCGGCGCCGCCCACAAATCCGTTGCTGCGCAGAAATCAGTATTGGGTCTGAGGAGCAGAACACAATTACGACACAATTAGTCTTAGCTTATTTATTTAGCAATAGATTTTAGATATGTTTAAGGCTGATTTATGAGATTCGCACGTTCTAGTTGTAAGCAAACGGACTTTGTTAGTTTCTAAAGAGCATTTGATAGCACGTAAATTTGCTACCGAAAAACCATACACATATTTGCCATATATATACATATATATATGTATGATTTATAGTCGTAAGAGTTTGCCAACTTTCAATATTATACAATGTTGAGTCTTTTGTGTTAGAAAACGATTTGAATTACGAATTTTTAAAATAAATGACAATACTTTTAAGCTAAAACACGGCCTTTTTATTTGGATTTAAAAACGCGATCAACATATAACTGCATTTACCAACACTGATAAGTGCATCAACCAGCCGCCACAATTTATCGCACATAACAGTTTATGTGTTGATTAACTGCTCTCAATAAAAATCGCCCGGCCGCCACAATTTATCGAAAATCGAACTGCTTAACGATCTAGCAATTTTTGAATGTTATAAAAGTATGTGTATTTATATTCAAGGCCATAATATTCTTAAAGTAATGTATTTCAGCGTTCTTCAATATCAATGGAAAACATGTTTTTCAAAATATACAAAATATCACTAGTTTCAATCTGATGCACATTGTTGCTCGTAATGTTTGTGATGACAATTCCGGATGAGAAATTCATTAAAAGGCAGCCATTGCTGTCGGTCCGGGCTTCTCGGTAACGGGCGTGACAACCATTGCCTGATTATCATAAACATACCCGATTTCAGTTACCACCGTTGTTGGTGTCGTGCTATTCTCCGCCGGATAGCGTGTGCTCACCGGCGTCGCCGTGGTCAGCACGGAGCCCTCGCCAGCGCCTGCTTGTGAATATAAAACGATTGCAATATGAATGATTGCTCAAAATGCAGGTAGTCAAATTAATCTGTAGCCTACCTGCCACACTGTTAATCTGCGAAGGCGCCCGCTCAATGTCACGGTAAAAGGCATTCGGATTCTGCATTGTCGTGGCATTGAGATCCTTGCCATTGGCATTGCTCTGCTGCGGCTTGGGCAGCAGCCGGCTCTTCAAGCGCTGCACGCAGCTGCTGTGCCGGCACCAACTGAGAAACTTCATCGCATAACGTAGGGCAATCAGTATACAGATGATGCTCAGCAGCAGCATCATCACCTGCTGATTGCTCTGGATGTTGTGTATATCGGCCTTGAGAGGCTCATAGCTGTTGTAGGCTGGAAATGAGATCAAGAGAAATTTGTTAGGCTGATATAAGGCTAGCTTTTGGCAGCTCTCAATGGAAGCCTATGAGACGTAATCGTTTAGACAGGAAAAAGAATGCTGGTTCGAATCTCTGATGGTTGAGCGACAGCTGGCTCGAATGATTCCGGCCGAAAGCCATCTAAGCCAGAAATATTTAAAGGTCTGATTAATATTTTTAGCATTTTTGCTCACGAGTACTAATTAAATGTTAATGAAAGGGAATCCTTATAAAGAAGAAGAAAAATATATATTTGTTTAATAATCGCATTAAATACGCCCAATTATATGCTTGAGCCCAAGCCTGAAGCAAAGGCTTAAGAAAAGGGCTTTTGAATTATTTATAAATGATTTCTTTTTTAATTGAATATTGCTATTAATTTATATAACAATTATTTTAGTTGAAATAAAAAATCATAAACTTAAGCGAGAGGCATGTTAAATTATTCCAGCCACAAGACGAACCCTGGAAATTTTAGTTTTGTGTTTGCAGTCCATTTTATGATTAGGTAACCAATAAAAAACTCCGGCTCAATACAAATATTAAACAAAAACCCGTGAACCTGTTAATACCAACAGTTACTTGTCGAGTACCCAATAGAATTTGCATAGTCAAGCAACAATGAGCTAATCAATTGTTTCGGAAACTACAATTAACTGCTGTGAGCTCGAGCTCGAGAGATGTTCAATGGAGAAATACAAAAAAAAAACAAGTAAGAGGTTCTAGTCGGCAGACCCCGACTAGGGAATACCCTGAACCCTCTTCTTCCAACATAGAATGCATATATATTCTATTTTAGCAGCTATATGTCAAGTTTGGTGACCCTAGCTCTTATTATTTACCAAAATTGCCCAAAAAACAGCATATCGATATCGATCGATTGCTCTGAAACGGAGTAATTTATCGATTATCGGAAAAAATTCGATATCTAGCTCTTATAGTTTCTGAGATCCTTGCGTTCATACATACGGATGGACAGACAGACGCACATGGCTAGATCGACTCGGCTATTGATGCTGATCAAGAATATATATACTTTATGGGATTGGAGATGCTTCCTTCTGCCTGTAACATACATTTGAATTTTGCACAAATACAATATACCCTTGTACCCAATTTTAATGGGTTCAGGGTATAAAAAAAAAAGCCGGGTGCAACCGACTGCGCAATACACTGTCACTTCCTCGCGTCTAGCTGGTCAGGTGACTCTAAAACTTTCAGTGCTCCCTAAACTGTGAAAAGGAGAAACTACGTTGAGCTAGTCTTGACTCTGTCCGATCCCGCTGGGCGTGGTTGCAACATATACTTGACAAGGCCCACACTCTGCAAAATTAACAACAAGCAAATGTTTTTGTAAATATTTCAACTATTAAATTCTCTATTTAGTCACTTTATTTACGTTATTCCTGTGTTTATTTATTCATGTATTTTTCATTTATTTACTTTCATTCTGCCTGACTTTTTTTCCAACCTCAACTTCAATTTAATTATAGAGCGATGTAATCAGTCGACTCACCTGAGCATTCCTTGATGCAGGTGTCCGCATGATAGTTGTGCGAGCTGTCGTCACAGATGCTCGCGCAGGGCATGCAGCTCTCGGCGAACATGGAACAGTACTCATCCACGGGATGACACAGTTTGCCATAGCAATCCCGGCCAGAATTGCCGCTGTCGCCGCCGCCATTATTCGAGGCGGCGGTGGCCAGCGAGAAGCTGGGCAGCAGCGAGGCGCCAATGGAGAGCGAGAGCGGACGCATTTCCCGGCCAGACATGGAACGTTCTTTTAAATACTCCTTACTGCGTGCTTTAAGTTGTCCGCTTGTTGTTAAGATTTTGTCTTTGATTTGGCTTACATAGCGCGCACAGGCGCTGAGGTGGGCTCTGCTGAAGTTGTTGGCTCGCCGCCCGCTTGGCTATGATTCATAACCCGGCCCGCACGCTGGCTAACTTGTTGGCCAAGCTTCTTTCTTTTTGAATTGTTTCGTTTTTGGGATCGCGAAGCGTTGAGTCCAGTTCACTTCGTTTGAGTTGAGTTGAGTTGAGTTGAGTTGAGTTGAGAGTGTGTATGTGTGTGTGTGTGTGTGTGCGTCTGTGTGAGCCGCTTTTTAAACTAGTTTCACTTGTGCAAATTTTGTGCCTTCTTTTTTTTTTGCCAGCCTGCCAAATCTATTTTCAAATTATGATCCACAAATGTTTGCAGTTTTTCTTTTGAATGAGACACCTTTTTTTACCACTTATTTTTGTTTATTTAAAAAAATATATCTTGCAGCCTTCGGAGTCTCGAGTTTTCTTCTTTGTCTGCCGCCAGCGACTTGCTTCGAGCCACACTCAACGCGAAACTGGCAACAAAAGCGATCGCGTGGTTGACTCTTACCAAACAGAGCTCGGAGTACACACACAGATACACACACACACACACACACGCATATATATAGTGCCTGCTAGAAAGATACTCACACACGTTCTCAGCAGCAAATGCGCTCAACTTCTCGACTTGACTTTTGTTTATATTTGTTTAACGATTCTCCTCTCTCACGCGTATATTTATCTCAAAATACAATTGTATCTGCGAATGGCAGGTAACTGATTTTCTAGGCCCATGGCACATGTATAGGTGCATATTAAGCAGGTATTGGAAGGCGTACGTGGTTTAGCTAACTGAGTTTTGTTTTCCATTTTTGTTTTGATACCCTTTCCATTTTGTCGCTATGTGAAGGGTTACAACCAATCGTAATATGAAAATATTTGTAAAAAAAAAAAATTAAGACACAATTTTATAGATTTATGAAATTAAATCAACATAAAATAGAATTGCTATATCATATAGATCTATAGGAATTATCAACCAAAATAAAAAATGTTGAGACAAATATTCCGAAAAACTTTACCAAGCTCTGCAATTGCAATTTCCCCCACATATCTGCAGGCCTGTAGCTAATCTTATGGCTTCTATGAGAAGAATTGTTCGTAAATAAAACTTGTAACTGAAAAATTTAAAAGAAGCAAGTTTGAGAGTGTATTTAAACTGCGGCGCGCCAAAGTTAACCGCCTGATGTTATTTATTTTATTTTTTTGTAATTTGCGTTGAGTATCTTGTGAGCACACTTTGAACCCAACTTGGCTACTGGGTGTCAACGAAATTCCTAAAATTTGCTAAAGATCAAATACAGTAAAAATTAATAACATTTTATTTCCGTTTGCCAAGGTGCCCGTTTTATCAGGCAACAATTACGTTGACTCATGTGCTCAGCAGTTACGTTTCCCCAGCACCTGAGTTTGTTTATTTTTATGAATGAAAAGTCATTGGAATATGCAGTTTGTTTTTTTTTTTTTGTTAAACAAAAACAAAAAGAGACATCATCGCAACTTTTCTGCAAGGCATTTAGGAAGTTGCAGCTTCAGACCTGCCACTTGAAACTAGCATTGAGATATTGTAGAATTCCGTGTTTAAGCACTTATAAATGTGTACAAGCACTTGACGTCATGAGTCAACAATAACACTGTGATGCGTTAATTGTTGTAATCTGTAATTTGTTGTTAAATATTGTTGCTGCGCGCAGAGCGAAACCAGTTCTGAGCGAACGCAGCTTGCACAGTTTGAAATGCGGTGTGGGGCTTGGCTATGTCTGGGCGGGTTGGGGTCTTGGCTGCGCCGGAAAACTGTGAATTTATTATATATTATATAAATGAATTCTTATTTTATGTGTAATATATTTAATTCTATATATTGATTATGCATTTAGAAACTATTAAATTATTCATTTATTAGCTAAAACCGTTTTTATTTTGTAATTCAAACTCAAATTTTTTGCTAGCGTCTGGCAACACTTTTTACTCTGCGCGCTCAACTGCCGATGCTTATCGATATATCGATAGTTATTAACGGGCTTATAATTTACTAAACTGGCTCCAGAAAAATTCGATTCACTCGTTTACTGACTTTTTAAGACAATAAGAACTATTGCGATTCGCATTTAATTTATATTATTTAGTATTTTTGATGCACAAACGTATTTTGTATATTCAAAATAGTCTCGGTTGCACGAAAACTATCGAGCTATCGATATGCTGGGCATCCAAGCCAACCATCCGCATTCGTTGAGCGGCTTTCGCTGTTGCATGAGCTGCGGGCGCGTTCAGCATTTGCGGCAAAACTGCGAGCTAGCAGACACTTGAATTGCAGCTGCCCCGTGGACGCGCGCGTTTTGTTTGTCTTGTGTTTTTGTGTGTGCGTGTGTGTGTTGGTGTTTGTGTAGTTAGTGTGAATTTTATAAATAAATCGCGTGGCGTGAAAGTGAAATGCGTTGCAAGCAGCATAACTAAGCACAAGTGGATGCCACACAGCATAAACGAGACGCAATTAAGTGAAAAATTTCTAAAAAAAAAAAAAAAAAACTAAAGCAAGTCAGGTTTTTGTTGTTGTTTATCTATTGAAAGCGACGCCGACGTCGACGCCGCTCAACTGGAAGGCGCGGCAGCATCAAACCGAAACCTGAAACTGAAATTGAGCGAACAACAAAAACAACAACAACAAAAGCGACGTCCTTGAGCTCATAATTAAAACACCTGTTCAAGCGCAACAACAGCTACAACAAAGACAACAAGAGCATTTACTCTCTCTCTTCTAACTCTCTTCCTCTGAATAACAACAAAAGAGAGAGAGAGATGAATAATTTCACAACGACAACGGCCGCTGTGCCCAAAAAGGATGCGCTGCCTCGATCGGGGCATGTTACAGAGGGTAAGTGCAGCTAATTTAGCCATTTTCTAGCTAAGTGCGGTTAGCTGCAAACAGTTGACATATTTATCCAGATCTAGCTTTTTTGCTATTGCCAATTTGTGTTTAGCAAGCTATGTCAGCTATTTTTTGCTTTTAGCGTTTTTTTTAGCTACTTTACGGCGACATTTGGCAACACTACAACACAGATTCTTTACAGATTTTAGCTTGTTGGGTTTCTTTGCCTGAGTGAACAGAGGTAGCATATTATTTCCAAATTAGTCTGTGCTAGAGGCGGGGACGGGGCGGGGTCGGGGGCGAAGCGCTTCAATGGGGTAGACCTGTTCCGAAGCTATGAAACTATGTCATTTAATTTAGGGTGAGTTTTAAATGTTGCGTCTCGTTTTTATGGCAGCAGTTTTGTACAGGAAGCGGCTCGATGTGTCGCAGTTCTAATTGTCGTGTTAAATTGGTGTAATAAGCCTTTTCAAGTGGCAAATACTTTGAAATAATAATAAGCAGCTATACACGCACTTAGGTCGCGTTGACACACTCATAATAATTGTTTACATTCTAGAAAGGTCAGCTTTCTAATAACCCCTTGTAGTTAAGGTGTATATTGGCCATAAAATATATATTTATGTTCATATTCGTAACACTTATACGTTCTATTATCTGGCATTAACATATGACTTTAACCAAGCTGAGGCTTGAACTATTTGGGAATTCTAAACGAATTTCTATATTCTGTTAGCAACTACATGCTGACTGTCTAAAACTGTATTAGCTAAACTGTGAAGACTTTTTTTCAGTCATCTTTAGCATTAATAGATTATAGACTATAGATGATAGATTATATATTATAGATTATAGATTAGAGATTATAAATTATATATTATACATTATGTTATATAGATTTTAGACGTCTTCTTAGTTGAATTGAAAAATACTGCTGCGTCCCATTTGCTCTTGAATAATCAGTAGAACTCTTGAGCATCTAGTTTGCACTCAAATTTAATTAGCAGTTGGTAATTTGCGCCTTCCAAATTATTTTCTGCTGTGAAATACCACTTCTATAATTTATTTTATAATAATTATAATATTATATTAATGTATGACAAACAGTCCACAAAGAGCGTTAAATTGTAAACCACATCTGGATGAGTTTCTGGAACTCATGCCTGGTCTCCAATTTATGCGCAAATATTCTCGAATGGACGCGTCTTATGAATACCTGAGTCATAGGTAAACCAAACCTAATCATATTGATCGAGAGCAGGTTTGTTGAACTATGCAAGAGAAAATCTTATGTTGTATAATGAAAATATTTCCATAAATTCGAGCCGTCGCCAGAAACAAAGCCGCACAATTTGTTGCCTCACATTTATAATTGAGCTCAATAATGAAAAGTGCCCGAAGGCATATGAAAACCGAAACTTGAATCAATTATAAAGTAAAAAAAAAAAGACAAGTTACGACATCTGCGACAAAGAGTTGGCAAGCTCTAGAGATTTTAGTCATCATTTTTGTTATGCTAATCAAACTTGGGATTGTTTGTTTGAGAGTCTGAGAGCCAAGCCAACGAACTTTCTTTCTCGAGGGGCTCTGTGTGTGTGTGTGTGTGCAATTTGAGTTTTTGAAAGTTTTTCATGAAACGATAAACAATAACAATGAGCTGCCAGTCAGCAGGCAACAACCAAAACAACAGAGAGACAGACGAACAAATTAAACATCAACTTCCAAAACATAAAACGCAGAAATTTCAGCTGAAAATAAACAAATGCCGTCTGCCACGAGGGCAGACCTTAACATTGTGCACTTAATATGGAAACTAAATTTAGTTTATTGATTTTGGGAATATTTTCTTTCTTTGCATGCATTCAAACAATTTTCAAAGGAAAGCTTCCCTTAAGAACTTGCGAGTTCAAAGTGAGATGTTGCTAAAATTGTCAGGGCTTCAATATGCTATAAAATTGTGTACATACATGATACTAAGGCAATTCTAGGTATAGTTGGAATAGTTATTCAAAATGCATGATAAACTATGCTGCCAAGTTTGGCATACGTAGCTTTTATAGTTTTCGTGTTATGTCTTAAAAAGCATATCTCAAGATCGATATTTATCGATATTAGCAACTGGTCACACTTGCTACGCACAATATCGAAAGCAACCCTCGTCTGCTTAGTCATAGTTCGCACTATTTGGGCGCGGACTGAAAGGGAAAATCTACTCAGAGTCGAGGTGCAAAAATTGTGCTACAAGCACTTTCCATTTAATGCGGCGACATGCAAATACATTCCCCCTACCCCCTCCACCATAGTGCTCTGAATGTATCTTTGTATTTTAAAGATACGCGCGTGCAGCAGGCAACAGCTGACAGTAGCTGGCCGCAGTCAACTTCTTGAGGCAGCCGCTTCATTTGCGCCCAAGCACGCATAGCCGGAGACAAAAGAAGAGACCCCCACAATGGCAGCCGCAGCTCGGAGTTGCAACCATCGAGGCTGCCACTCAACTGTTGGCCTCTTTTTCGCATTATTCTTTGCTGACAAACTGGCCGCTTGGAAGGGGAAGGGAGAGGCGGTGGCAAAGGGGGCATGGAATGAAACAGTCGACAGTTGCATGACGAGATGCCGGAGCTGCCTCACTTTGCTGCAGCAGTTTATGTGGCATTTTGTTTTCTTCTTCTCATTCATTTTTTTTTTTTTTTGTTGCATGCCACGAATGATTCACTTGTCGGCGACAGGATGTGCAAGTGCCAGAAAGAGGTCTCCACTTGGCTTTAGCTTAGAGATGCCACCTAAATGCCCAAGTACCCCTAGCCATAGCCACAGGCCCAGTCCCAGCCCCAGCTTCAGTGCCAGCTGCCTGCATAATTGTTTTGGCATACAAAAGGTTTCACAAAAGGGTCCCTTTTAAAAGGTAAATCCAAAGACTGACTCAAAAATGAGCGCAGAATTCGGTCTTATGAACTATACACTAAGAGCTGAGATCGCCTGCGTGAGGCCTTAGTTGACTTCTTTAGTGCCTATTCGGGCTGACATATTCCGTTTGATCTAAAAAACCTGAAGCACTGAATACCTTTGGCTTGAATAGCTCCAACTCAAGCTATATTCTAAGCACTTATGAACTAGTTCATTTCTTAAAAGCAGCCAACATCCTCGTTCCATAAGCCCCTGACATATATATTATATTATATTTTACTATATAAAACTTACTGATAAGCTATTACAATTTACCGCACTGTAGCCTGTAACTCAAACCCGATTACTCACTTTTCAAGCTATTTTTATGACCCGTTCGCTGAAACCGTCTCGACAAGTTGATCAGGAAACAGTCGCAGGCTATGTAAACCGGATTGTATAACTATTTGAATTTATTCAGCGTCAGATCTTTGATCTTTTTGAATTTGCTTGGAAATTGGTTATATTTATCGGCGGTTTTAGGGAAGATACAAAAAGGTTCTAAAAGCGGATTTCAAAAGAGGTTTAAGGCAAACTTCAAAATGTGCCTTAAGTTATAAAACATTTTTGTGAACTTATGATACATTCAAAAACACATCTCCGTCTAAAAGTTGAAGTTGGGCAAATCGGAGACCTATATCATACGGCTATATATAGTCCAAAAGAAAACGAAACACTACACTCAAAAAAAAATTTGCGACCCCAAACAAAAAGTCTATAAAAACGTAAGAAACTTTTTACCTTTCTTTTCTAAATGGGACAAAAATTTGTTTAAAAATTAAAAGTGTGATACAAGGAACTTTTTTTTAAAGGCGATTTTGCAAAGCGTTTACTTTTTTTTTTCAGTGTATATAAATTTCATGGTAAAGCTATCAAAGAAACGATTGCTGAAATGCTCGTCTAAAAGGATTATTATTTATTTATTAAGAACAATTTCTGCTTGTATGCAAAAGTAGCACAATTCAACAAATGATTGAAACTTAACTAAAATATAGAAAATGTCTTAATACAATTAACTAAATTATTAGTTTAGAACAAATTATTGACATGCTTGTAAAGCAGAAACTCCTCACATAAAACTAGTTGCACGCTTTGAGCAGCTTTGCTCTTAACCCGAGACACAAAATTGGCGTATGCTATTTTCTTTTTTGCAAATTGGGGAAAATGCATGATTTTGCCTCAGTTTCGGAGAAAGTTGAAGAGCTGCCATAAAAAATGAAATTACGCTAATTTTAAAAGCCAGCATAATTATTGGCGATTCGCTTTTAGTTTAAGTGCTCAGATTTGCGCAAGCTATCAATCAATCAGTCAATCAGTCAATCAATCAGTGCAACTGCAAGCCGATTCTTTTTCCTTTTTTTTTGTTTGATGTGCCTCATAATGAGCTAAATTCTTGCCACAGCAGCGCCAGCTTCTTATCAACAACTCCATGGCCATGGCTAGGGTCAATGTTTGGTAACACAATACACACACACACACACACACACACGCGGGCGCACACATGTGTGTGTGTATTCTTGCTGCATCTTCAGCTCGTTTCTGTGTGTATCCATCAGCTGCAACATTCAAATAGTCAACGTCGCGTCGGCGTCGGCGTCCGCGTCGCCGTTGCAGCCACATTTTTGTTTGGGTTTCTGTTTGTGGCAAGCGTCTCTCTAGCTGCCCCCTCCACCTTTTACCCGCCCCTCCCCCATGCTGCTTGCCTCTTGCCAGTGGCATGTTCAACAACCTTGAGTCAGGTTTTTCCACTTTCAGCCGCTAATCAATGCAACAGCGTCGACAGCATTTTTCCTGCTATTGCTGCTGCTGCTGCGCTCTCATAAACATTTTTCCTTCGACTTTCCAATTCGGTTTTCCGCCTCTTTACCATAGTTTTTCATATGTCTTGCATATGCATAAATTTTGTTCAGGTTTTTCTTTCGAATTTAACATATCCCATTTTTGTTGTGTAACTCTTCACGCGATCCACAGACCGAACCATTCATGCATAGACCACAATTTGAACCTGCTCGCTTACACTGAAAGAGACAGAAACTAAGAGAGTGAGAGAGAGAGAGAGAGAG